AATCACTGTAGTTCTTTTCAGCAAAAGGGGTTTTAACACAGAAAATCAAATGCTTAACAATATTGGTGGAAAGGCTGGAGGGGCAAGCTTTAAGCTGGACCTCCAGGAATGACTCCCAGAGCAATGCCAGTGTATCTCTGCCACGAGAGTAAGATAAGGCATGAAGGGTTATAGGAGCACAGTATCTTATCTGCAATCTAGGAATCAAGAAGCTGACACTGCCCAAACTATTGGCTAGAGTATCATCATGCCTGCCAGATCCTCAGTGGCAAAAAAAAAGTGTCATTCTCTGGCTCTCAAAATGTACAAAACCAATGACCAGACACTAGAACTTGTGAAAACACAGCCACAGAAAACCTCAACACCTCCACCATTGTGCTCACCAGCAGAATCCGGCAAAGATGGCTTCTGCCGCACCACCTCTTTCTAAATATTGCACATGTACATATGATTGACATCACTATATCACATCCAGAACACTGGCTGCAACGGAGTCTGAAAAATGTCAATTTTGTTGCAGTTTTTTTTGTTTTTGTTTTTAGTTTTTCAACAATATTAGGAAAGCAGGCTAGAAGGAGGACGGCATGGATCCTTAGCAATCAATCCATCATATCTACCACAGGATTGATAAGAGCAAAACTGCTTTTGAGAGAGAATTTGGGCAGAAAAGTAGAGGCTGAATTGAGGAGGAAGAGCAGCACAAGAGGCCAGGTAATGAATAATAATAAATAAGAGATTATGAAGAACTGAAAGGTAGTGGCAGCAGGGAGAGAAAGGGACAAGTGACAGAGATATTAAGGAGGAAGATAATCAGCAGGACTAGGAGACTGGTCAGCAAGGTGAGGGAAAGACAGGACTTATGAATATTTTTTTTCTGGTGTCTGGCTAGCTCAGTGTGTGATGACTGCCATTCCCAAAGAGAGAGAACTCAGGAAAAGATGGAAGCTGGTAGGGCTGGGAGAACATGACTTCAATTTTGTACTTAATAAGTTTGATGTGCTTGTGAGATAGTAAGGAGGAGATATCCAGAAAGCAATTGGAGATTCCAAGCAGTTGGAGAGTCCAAGAGACCATCCTGTGTCATCATTATCTCTCTGCTTACAGACAAGCAAAGTTCTATGTCTGTTTTGTTTCCCACTGGTGTTCAGTAACTTTATTTGAAAGGAGGTGCATCAATGTGCAATGTAGGTGGTAGTTCAAGCATTGGGAGTGGATGAGCCCATTCAGGGCAAGTGCAGAATGAGAAGAAAAAGGGGCTGTGATCAGAAGAACTCTGAAAAATCAAAGCATCAATGACTGGATGAAGAAGAACCCAGAAAGGACATAAAGACTGTAATCAGACAGGTCATGTGTATGGTATCCTCAAGGCAAAGTTGCATTTTAGAAATAGAGAAGGCATCAGTAGAGTCAAATGGGAGAGAAGTTAGAAAAGATAAAGTTGGAAACTTGGCCATGAAATCTAGCAACAAGTTGGTTATTAGTTTATATTCTCAAGAGGTTCCAGTTTTCTATAAGATGATGAGGGTAAAGCCAGGATGCAGTGGGTTGAGGGGTCAAAAGATAGTGAGGAAGGAGGAGAAATAGGACAAGAGTGAACTTTCAAAGGGAAGTAAAAATATTCTAGTTGCTTATATTATGATACTGTCCTGATCACCAGTTATCTGTCACAACGTAATCTAGAAGAGTGACTTTCAAACTGTATTGACATTACTTGCTGTAAGAAATACATTTTACATAACAACCCAGTGCATTTATATTTATAGCTAACTGAAACAAAAGCTTAATGAAACAGTATTTGCCCTAACTATATGGACATTTCATATAAATGGAATTATATAGAAGCCTTTTTTTAAAGCATAATGCTTTTGCAGTTCATCTATGTTGTAGCATGTATCAGTACTTCATTCATTTTTATGACTGAATAATAGCCCATGGTATAGCTATACCACATTTTGTTTATCCATTCATCAGTTGACAGACATTTGAATTGCTTCTATCTTCTAGCTATTGTGAATAATACTACTATTGACATTCATGTACACATTTTTTTGTGAATATGCTATCATTTTTCTTAAGTATAGACTTAGGAGTGAAATTGTTGGGTCAAATGCTAACTCTATGTTTATTTTTTTGAGTTAGAGTCTCACTCTGTTGCACATGCTGGAGTGCAGTGGCATGCTCAAGATAATCAAGGCTCATGGCAGCCTCGACCTTCTGGGACCAGGCGATCTTTCCACCTTAGCATCCTGCGTAGCTTGGATTACAGGCGCGTACCACCACACCTGGCTAATTTTTAAATATATATATATATATATATATATATGTATTGTAGAAATGTGATTTCACTATGTTGTCCAGGCTGGTCTCAAACTCCTTGGCTCAAGTGATCTACCCGCCTTGGCTTCCCAAAGTGCTGTGTTTAACTTTTTGAGGAACTAAGAGATTGTTTTCCAAAGTAGCTACAGCATTTTACATTCCCGCTAGGTGTATTATGAGGATTCCAGTGTATTCACAACCTCTAGGACACTTGTCACTATCTGGCTTTTTATTATAGCCATTCTAGTGGGTGTAAAGTGGTATCTCATTATAAACAACACTGGAGTGAATATCATGTATCTACATTTCCTGCATTTTATTTGAATTTTCTTGATGGCTAAGGATGTTGAGCGTGTTTTCATGTGTTTATTGACTGCTTCTTTGGAAAATGTCTATTCAGACCATTTAACAATTTTTAAATTGGGTTATATTTATCTTTATGAGTTTTAAGAGTTCTTTATTCTAGATACAAATCTCTTATCAGATATATAATTTGCAAATGTTTTCTCTCATTCTGTGGATTCTCTTTTGACATTCTTGATAATGGTCCTCTGAAGCCTAATTAAAAAAAATTTTTTTTGATTAAATCCAGTTTTTCTTTTTCTTTTTTTGTTCGTATTTTATATCATATGTAAGAAATTATTGTCAAATCCAAAGTCACAAAGATTTACTTTTATTCTCCCCATTAAAACTACAATATCATTATCACATCTAAACAATTAATAATTTTTAAAATATCATCAAATATTCAGTGTATATTGAAATTTCCAGTTGTTTCATAAATGTCACACGTGTTTATTATATGTGCAGATTCCACCTGAGTCAGTATGTTTTCTTCTTCTTAATTTTTTATTTTTTAATTTTAAGGATGTGGGGTACAGTTCAGGATTAGGTACGCAGTACAGATGAAGTTTGGGCCTCCCGTTGGTCCCCACTTTGCCTGGTTTGAGATCACGTACCCTTATTGATGTTATGTGTCCTCATCCCCTCCCCTGGCAGTGTCCCGCTACTGTCAATTCCTTTCTTATAGATATTATGGTAAAGGTTCAGGGTCTGTTTATGAGTGAGAACATGTGGTACTCAGTTCTTTGTTTCTGTGACAGATCACTGAGTCTTATAGACTCTAAATCTATCCAAGTTGCTGTGAAAGTGGACTGGATAAAAAAATGCGGTACATATATACAATGGAATATTACATAGCGATAAATATGTTTTCTTCTTATATAAAATAATGAACCAGATTTTTGGTCCTGTAACCAACAGTGGTTTACAGTGCAGATATAGTTTTACAGTGTGGATTTTACAATCTGTATCCCTGTATTGAAGTTTAACACATTCCTCTGTCCTCTGTGTTGATAGTTGGATCTAGAAACCTAATCTTATTCAGGGACTTTTGTTTGTTTTTGCAAGAATCACTCATGACTGGTTCCATGAGGCAAAACTTTTAATTAAAGTAGGATTTCTTTGGAGTTTATTCTATCTTGTAGGGCCAGGGTACATTTTGTTTATGACCTGTATCCATTCAGAATTTCAAACAGATAGATGAATGTCCCAGCCTCAAAGATTTCTAGAAAATAGAAAGCAACTCTCGTTCCTCTTAGAATCCATAGTACGCTGGCAATTCTGGAACTTAATTTGTTCTATCCTTGGTTAATCCAGTCTCTTGTCCCTCTCCACCAATATCTATCTGTTCACTCATATAGTCTCAGAATGTAAGAGCATAAAAGGCCCTGAAAGATCTTTTGTACAAGGGTGTCCTTGATTCTTGAGGTCCTAGGAAACCACTGAAATTATATGTATTTTTCTGAGGTTTCACTTAATTCTCAATTAAGTCTAAGTCCTTGTGTTACAGAAGGGAGATCGAGGGCCTGACAGGGAAAGAGAATTGCCCAAAAGTCATATAACAAGCTTGAGGTAGGATTGGGAGAAAATTTGAAACCTTCTGGTCTCTGGTCCAGTGTTTTCTTGCCCCATAGCTCCAAACATCAGTCACGGACATAAAGCAGGGCAATGATTACAAGCAGATTTCAAATTCTGTAGAGGTTTTTCCATGGCAAATGTTTAACCTTATGCTGGCTTCCCTTGGTAGTTAAAAGAGTGCAAGCTGTCATAATCTGAATAAACCATAATAAAGAAGGGAAATATTACTGGGTGAGGATAGCAATATCAGAGACAGTCAAATATAATTGGATTTTGGAAATTGTGTAGTGTGTCCGTGTGGTTCTTTTCACAGCACTGCTTTTTTTGAATTTTCATAGCTAATTGTGAGTTGCTAGTAAATTCTTAGTGGCCAAAACCTTCTTTGCCTCCCCTTGGTCCAGGCTCCGAACAAAGTGGCTGCCTTTTTCCTATCTACTTATTCCTTCTTTTCATTCTTTCTCCCACCTCCACATCTTTTTTCCTGCGTTTTCCCTACTGTTCTTCTTTAATATATCCCCATCTCTTCTCCCTCATTTTCATCTTTCCTTCTCTTTCTCCCTCTTTCTGGAATATCGCCTTCCATACTTTCTTCCTCCCTCCATCCTGTTAGGTCTATTCTCTCCCCATTTCCCAATCCTTTTCTCCTCTCCTCCCTATCTCCCTACATCCCCCCAACCCGCCCCTAACAAGCTCCCCACCCCCACGCCAGAACTGGTGGCTGGTGACTCCCGCCAGTCGGGATGGAGCGAGCCCGCTGGGGGAGCCTCGGGCCCTCCGATTGGCTGCCGCAGCTAGCACGCCAGCTCCAGTCCCTCCCCTAGGGAGCGAACGCGCCGCTCCGGCATCTGCTATTGGCCGGCGGGTCTGTCAGCGACTCTGGCCGCGCCTCACGCAGGCGCCCGCTGTCTCTGGGTGAATAAAAAGGCAGCCTACGGGCTGAAGTGGGGGTGGGGAGAGGAAGAGGACCAGGGCCAGGGCCAGCGAGACAGGGATCGAACGAGTCGCTGGCAGCCGGGAATCCCGCGAAGAGAGCGAGCAGGCGTAGGAAAGCGAGCGAATTAGAGGGAGTAGGGGAGACCGAGACTGACCGGTAGCCAGATAGGCGAACGGACGCACGCCCGGACAGACTGACCGAGCAGGCGCCGGAGAACCTCTCTCACAGGTTCCTCCCGCCTTTCCCTTTGAAAGCCAGGATTTTACCTTTCTTTTGGCGCCCGAGGGACAATGCTGGACTCTGCTAACTTCAGCGCAAGCTAAGATTTCTCAGCTAGGGAAGGAAAATCATCCCAATTCTGAGAGGGGGGAACCAAGCACCCCTGTCCCCATCCCCCCTCCCCTCCCCCTTGACCAAACTCGGGCGCCAAACCCAGCCCTTCCCTAACCACCCGACTTCCTCTTCTCCTTTTTAGCATGGTGGCTGTATGGACAGTCTGACAGAACAGAGATTGACATCTCCCAATCTGCCGGCCCCCCATCTGGAACACTACAGTGTTCTGCATTGCACCATGACCCTGGATGTGCAAACTGTAGTCGTTTTTGCCGTGATCGTAGTCCTACTTCTTGTCAATGTCATACTCATGTTTTTCCTGGGAACGCGCTGAATGGAGTCCAGCCACCTGAGCTGTTGCGAACTCTCGCTTTGATTTCATCCCAAGAGCCACCGAGAAAAAAAATCAAGATAAACAGAGACAGGGAAAGAGAGGGAGAGAAAGAGCAAGCTTTCTTACTCAGGGGGGAAAACGTTTTGAGCTTCAACATGGCCTCGCTGTGATATGTATGACGTTGGTATATTATCTCTCCCTAAATCTTTTGTCATGTGTTTTAAGTATGCCTTTGCCTGTAGTTGCCTATTGCTTGAGTGAAATTGTTGATAAAGAAATGCTTTCTATTTAAGTGTGCATGCGTGTGTGCATTTTTCATCTACGTGGCGTTCGTGGAGCAAGCTCTGCGTTCTCAAACAGTGGCTTTGCTGTTTGCTATGTCTTGTCAACTCATTTTCTTGAAAACTACCTTTAAACTCTGTCAGGGAATTTTAGTCAAAATTTCTCTCTTGATACCAGGAGTGCATTTGAGTTTGTTTGCAGGGGAAAAGAGTTTGTGGGAGAGTATGATGAAATTTTGGCATTGATTGAAAGACAGCCTTGTGCTGGATAATTAGAAGGAAAAATTGATGCAAGAAATGGATTTAAGGAAGATGATTCTTTAGTCTCTAATGAGAAGCAAGAATTTGGGAAGTGTTATGGTGGGATGCGTTCAGCTGGCAGTTGGTGACTGTGTCCTTTGAATCTCAATTTGCTGTCCAGGCCTCATGGTTTCCAATTTGGAAAGAAGCCACTTTTAAAACACTTTTTAAAGCATTAAATGTCAGTTTATTTGGAATTATAATGTAGTGGTACATAAAAGCATTTTCTGACTTTTTGAATTGGCACGAGAGGGCTTTGACAAGAACTGTTTGGGCTCCTTTTCCGAAATATTGTACCGCTGGATTTCAGTTTGGGAATTTTTTTCCTCTATGTCTCACCCTCCCCCCCCCCAAGCCCCAGCTTTTTACCCAGCTTGGGAATAATAGTATTGGCTATGGCTCCTTTGAGGTAATCTCATTTGTCATTTTCAAGGATGTTCTTGAACTGCATCTTAAATAGAACTTGATAGTGCTGATGAAAAAGTGGTAGTGTTATTGTGTGCTTCCTTGTTTGTTACTTTAAAATCAGAAGTCGCTCTAATGGAAACATTCCCACAAACAAACTGAAAGTATGTAATGTGCTAAATTGATAGTTTTGAGTGCACACACACACACACACACACACACACACACACACAGAAATCTAGATGGAATGGGATGATTTCAGAAAATGCATAAGATGGAAGCAACATTCCAATTTGAGATTTGTCTATATCAGATGGCGATGGTGGTGGCTGCTGTTATTATTGCTAGTGTTATTATTTTTATATTTCTCTTTCCGTTGAGAAAGCTCTTGGCAGAGCCAGGAAAAAAAAAAAAAACTGTGTCTGATGCCAGTGTGCATAATACTTGTTTGTTTGCTTTTTCTCCTCTGCGGATGTAGGCAGGTCTTCCTCATTCTGATGCTTACTTGACTTGAAATAATGCCATTTCTAACTCATGTAGCACTGCACATGTCTACACACATGTTCCCCCCTACACCCGTGTGGGCGGCTGCTCATGTGTGATGTGCACATCTACTGGCATTATGCTGTCTGTCAAGTTCCATGTCCTGTTGTTCAATCTCTTTGGAAATGATTTTGAAGAGAAGAGGGCCTATGAAGGGAGCTCTTGAAATTGTCCTGACCACAGGACCCAGAGAGTATTATTTAATGGCATCAGAAGAGATTTTGAGCCTCAAAATATGCTCTAGTTGACTCAGTGTGTGAGAAGCTGAAGGCCTTTTGGGGGGTGGGGTGGAGGTAAGCATAATCTGCGAAGTTTACTGGCCTTGATTCTTGTTAATTACTGTTTGTGCTTTTTGTACGGACTCCCTGGTAGAACTTTTTTCTTTGTACAGAAAATCTAGTGAAGGTTTTTTTTTTCTTCTTAGCTCCATTATAGTAGGTTTATATCTTGTCTGGGTACTTTGTTTTGAGACCGTTTTGGAGAGCAGAGAAAAAGCTCTATGATGGGCAGCTGCAGACTTTTTTTTCCTTCTGTTTTTACTGTTGTTGTTATTATTTTTTCATTTAGTGGTTGTTTGACCTTGGACAACTTTTTCTTCCTCAATGGGTTTGGGATTCCCTGTAACATTGACATTTGGGGATGGTTGGACTAGATGACCTCCAAGTTCTTGCATTTTATGATTTTGGACACCCGTGAGGACTTGAAGTCAGAGGGGCATGAACTGGAAAAACAAGTGAAAATGAAAACAAATATTAATCAAGGGATGATGGAAGGAGGGAATGGATATCTGATTACTGGTGTCTGGAGAATCAGTTTACCTAAGGGATTTTTGCCTAGCTATATGAGAAGGAAACTAGAACTGCAACAAGGAAATGCCTTTTGACTTTTTGTTTTTCTAAGGGGGAAAGGAGGTCTCAGACAAGTCTAAGTTTATGACTAAGTAATGTCACGAAATGCCTTCCCCTCTGGGTGCCTGACAGACCTTTGGCAGAAAACCTTTGAGAATGTGTGTGTGCAGGGTGTGCTGCAGTATGTTCGTGTGTGTGTGTGCATGCTATTGTGTGTGGTTGGGGGGATGGTAAAAATGAGGAAAGACAGCATTGAGTTTCATAGTTCTGAATGACCTTGTGCTAGGGCCTGTAAGGATTTGACTGGTGATACATAGAATGGGTAGGTATCACCCATGCCGGTTCTTTTTCCATCACCTAAAACCCCTCAGACTAGAGAGGTAGCTCAAATGAGCCCTTCCATCAGTAATTCAGCTGTTGAAATGGGTTAGCACTTTTATTTTATTTTTATTTTTATTTTTTTTGAGTTGGAGTCTCA